GCTCGGACATAGTCCTTGGTGCAGGTGGTTAAGAGTGCTCGGTTCGCCTCGGACCTATCGGACCTCCACCGAAATTTGGATGGGGGAATTTGCAGGGAGAACTTTTCAAGCAACAGGAACAGCGAAGGAAGCATGACTGTGACCCGATTGTAATGATTGTCTTTCTACCTGAAGAGGAGTCAGGCAACCTTGTTCCCTTGTTGAAGAAGGCAACCTTGTTCCCTTGTTGAAGGAGAAAGTGGAGGGACTAGAAGAGAATCTACTTCAGCTATGCTGAAGTGGACTGGGGAAGATGAGAAGTTGATTTTAATGCTGAAAAAAAAATCCTGGCAGACCCTCACCCTGTATTATGGGAGTCAACAAGCTGTCAGCCACTTGAAAACAATGGCTCAGACCTAATGCTGGTACCTGCTGATTGAGAGAACAAGGACTCAGATGCTGAACTTGGGAGATTGTCAAGTGCCAAGATAAACAATCAGCCGAGTAGGGTTGAGCAGTGCAATCTCAGCAGAGAGGAAGGAGTGTCAGCTTCTCCAGGGAAGGCTACACACAGTGTAGGCTATCTGAGGCTCCCCTTCCTTGTGGGAAACTTACTTAATGCTAGTAAGCCAGTATTCGTCAGTGCTCTCATTCTTGGTTTCCCCTCATTCCTCAAGAACTTTATCTTATGAAGCCCAGAGTGAGCATTTGCATCCACACTGTTGGATCTGTTTTTCTTGCTTGTATTTAAGTTACAGCTATGAGTTACAGACAAGAGGCACTTCTTTCTGTATAGCATTTCTCTAATTAAATTACACCATCCAGCGCTAGTAATACTGTCAGCTGATTTATGGCCAGGCTATTAAGTTCACCGGAAACTCGCTAATTGCTTCTGTTTTCCTGCCTCTCAGACTAGGGCAGGAGGCATGCTTATTTCTGAGATAATCTGGATAGGCATGCTACAATTAACAGGAGCCAACATGCTTTTGCCTCAAGTTTAGACTCCTTCCAATCTGTGATTCTCTTCTGATGTTACTCTACCCTCCTTGTCTTTTCTTTAAGTAGGGTGATGATGTAAGGTATTTAAGATAATACTAAACGGATGGGAAAATAATATTCTATGTAACAGCTAACGAGTATTTTCTAGTTTGGAGTTTTAATACTGGCTTGCAATGGCTATTCATTTTCATGATAAGTACGTTTTAGCCTATCCATATGACTAAAAGGCATTCAAGTGGGCCAACTCAGAAAAGTGATCAGATCATGCCGGTGCAAAGAAGGCTCTCGGGCCATTCGCGCCACACACAAAAACCCCTTTCAGCATTCAGATTGAACTAGTATGGCTGAGACATTGTAGTAAGTGAATGGAGCCCCTTGGCATAAGGTACAATTGTGTACACTTTTAAGATAGGCACAGTTCTGTCAACAAAGGATGTTCTTTCTCCCTCCCCCCCCCCCGTTTCCATTTCATTATTTAAAGAATCTGGACTGGGATGATTTCTCAAATGTGTAATCACTGAGGGACAGCCATTCGTGCTATTGTTTTATTGGAGCAGCTCAGGATCCAGTGAATCCCAATTACCTCCCAAAGACCCATTAGATCACACAGATTAGGCCTCCTCTGGGTTCTGTCTACTAGCCAATGTCATCTGGTTACTACCCCGGGGAGGGCCTTCTCTGTGGCGGCTCCGGCCCTTTGGAACAAGCTCCCTGCAGAGATTCAAGGTGGCGCAGTGGTTAAATGCAGCACTGCAGGCTACTGCTAGATCAGCAGGTCAGCGG